TAATTATGAAGCATCTGAGGTTTCTATTATTTTATTATTTTCTAGTATGTCATCAGATGACTTCATAAAGGCCTACTATATCATTTAGTATGAATACACTTACCTCTTACCTCTGTGTGTGTGTGTGTGTGTGTGTGTGTGTGTGTGTGTGTGTGTGTGCATTTTTGCTGCCACCTTACTTGCATATTTATTTTCACATCATCTCAGAATAATGAACTCTATTAAAGGTATGCATGTTATTCACTTGAACATTAGGAGTTTGTCACCTAAAATTGACTTATTGAGAGCCTGGCTCACCTATAATAAACCTCATGTAATTACTCTTTCTGAAACCTGGTTAAACAGCAATATTTCTGATGATGAAGTCACAATTGATAACTATGTCCTTTATAGAAAAGACAGGGGCTCAAGAGGAGGGGGTCTTTTGACATATGTATCCTCAAATTTGACTGCAGAACTTATTTTACCAACTGAGAATCCCTCGCGTTTTGAATGCCTTTTTGTTAAAATTATTTTACATGAGAACAAACGACTTATCATAGGAAATATCTATAAACCTCCCAATGCTCCTGCTGAAACAACTGAATGTATCCTATCAACCATTAATTCTTTAGACTGCACTAGTGAAAAAATCATATTAGGTGATTTCAACTCCAATTGGGCAGATCGCTCATCCCGTAATGATCGCAATCTCTTCAACAGCATAAATTTAACCCAACTTATAAGTGAACCTACCAGAGTTGGTCCCAGTTCGTCTTCTCTACTTGATTGGATCCTAGTTTCCCATCCCGACAGAATCATACAATCTGGGGTATTACCTGACTCTTTCAGTGACCATTCTATTGTTTTTTGTGTTTGGAAAATCAAAGTGCCTCATCTTCCTCCTAAATTCATCCAAGTAAGGAAAACTAATAATATTAACTCTGAACTTTATATTCAAGATATCTTAAACATCAACTGGGAAAGATTTCAACTAATACCATTCGTTGAAGATGCCTGGAATTACTTTTATACTGAGCTTGTTGAGATAATTAATAAACATGCTCCCTGGACAACAATTAAAGTCAAGGGTCGACATTTACCTTGGATAAAAGGAGATCTTATACACTTATTCAAACAAAGAGACAAGGCTTGGAAAAAATACCGTGTAACAAATAATTCTTCTGACTGGAATGCTTATAAAGAGCTGAGGAATAAATGTAAAACCAATACTAGAAATGCTAAGGCAAATTATTACAAAGACTGTCTGTCAACTGATTTTAAGAACCCAAAGCAATTTTGGAAGAGAATCAATAGTATAACCAATAAACCCACAAAAAATCCTACTACTCGTATCAGAATAAACAATGAAACTGTCAGTGAACCATCATTAATTGCAGAGGCATTTAGCCAACACTTCTCTACAATTGGTAGCTCCCTGTCTGGTTATTCTCACTCTGACTTTACCCCGACTCAGAACAGATGTGGCAGTTCCTTTTCCTTCAGAACTATCACACCAACTGATGTCCAACAGGTCACTGATGGTCTAAGCTCTGGATGCAGTGCTGGTCCAGATGGTCTGGAGATTAAGTTCTTTAAACTTGCCTCTCATATTTTATCATTTCCTCTGGCTGATTTATTTAATTCATCTCTTGCAACTGGTAAAACTCCCTCTTCCTGGAAATGTGCCAGAGTAACCCCTCTCCATAAAGGGGGTGACCCCACGGACATCAATAATTATAGACCTATCTCAATTATTAATAGCATTGCAAAAATATTTGAAAAACTCATCTTTAATCAATTATCTAAATATCTTAATGATCACAACTTATTATCAACACACCAATCTGGTTTTAGACCAAACCACTCGACCGCCACTGCTCTCCTAAAATTCACCAATGACATACAGTCAGCATCTGACAGCAATATGTCTACAGGTGCTATATTTATTGACCTTGCTAAGCATTTGACATGGTTGATCACTATCTTCTTTTAGATAAACTACATGCTATTGGTTTCTCTACTGACTCTTTGTTGTTTTCAACTCTTTTCTTCATTATAGAAGTCAATGTGGTTTTTTTCAGGGCAGCCAGTCAGACTTCAAGATTATTGATAAAGGTGTGCCACAAGGTTCATCTTTAGGTCCTCTATTATTCTCCATCTTCATCAATGACCTCTCACCAGTCTGTTCTGACTGTCAAATTCATTTATATGCAGATGACACTGTAATATACTCCTCCAGTTCGGACATTTCACAAATTCAATACTCAATACAATCTGATTTTAATCTAGTCCAAAAATGGTTCTCTGTCAATAAACTTCTTCTGAATAAGAAAAAATCATATTTTATGTTGTTCTGCACTCGACCAGATTCTTTGCCCTTAACAAAAAACTGGCATATTAATTTCCTGGATGGAACAGCATTAGAAAAAGTAGATGAATTTAAATATTTGGGCCTTTGGCTAGATTCCCAGTTATCTTTCAAACCTTATATCAACTCAATTTCTAAGAAAATATATGGTCGTCTAAAATCACTTTATCGTTCTGTTGAATGTTTTTCACTGCAAGTCCGGAGAAGAATCGTGACACAATTGGTGCTGCCAATCCTTGATTATGCTGATGTTATCTATGGAAACACCTCAGAGACAAATCTTCGACCTCTCACTATCTTATTCAACAGTCTCTGTAGATTTGTTCTGAGGTGTCCATATAGGACCCATCACTGCCTAATGTATGAGTCCTTGAATTGGCTGGCTCCCAAGTCCAGAAGGACATTTCATTCATTACTTTTAAATGTATCTATTTTAATTTTCCTCCGTACTTGAAACAATTTCTAATCCCTTTCAGTTCACAGTATAGCCTAAGGCATACTGATCATCTATTTTTCCTCACACCAAGAATCAGGAAAGAAATTGGTCGCCGTGCATTTAAATTTAAGCTCCATCAGACTGGAATAACCTACCTCGCTCACTTAGATCTATCACCTCTTTTCATATCTTTAAATCATCTCTACATACTCATTGTCAAACATCCTGCTCTTTTTGATTTTCTTTCTCTGTTGGACTTAGTTTGTCTGGACCTGCTCTCCTCTTGCTTGCGCTCGTGTATCTACATGTATGTACTGTTCTGTACCTTGTGCCTTAATGTTGCGTACACTATGTGTGTAAGTCCTGTATAGTGTGTATGCATATATATATGCAGAGGTTTTCCTTTCTTTTTTCTTTTTTTATTATTATTATTATATATATGTATTTTTTCTCTTCAGATTTTTTCTGATTGTGTAATACTGGCTGGTTGGTGGGTGGCTAGGCTTGGGGGAGCATTAAGTGTGAGTGATTGTGAGTGTGTGTGTGTTTGTGGTGTGGGTGTCTCTGTGTTTAAATGTTTGGTATTATGTTTTGGATTTACCTTTTATTTTATTTTGTATTATGATGATTCATTATGTTTTGTAAGGACCCCCTTGAAAATGAGATGCTGCATCTTAAGGGGCTATCCTTGAAATAAATTACAAATTACAAATTTACACATTAATGCTGTCTCTCACCTCCAGGGCCTTGAGGAAGATGCTGCGCCACCGCGTCTTCATCATGCCAATCGCCCTTTCCACCACACACCGTGCTTTGGCATGATGCTGGTTGTATCGTACATGAACAGGGTTTTGCACCGGCTCCCTGAATGGGGTCATCAAGCTGATTGGTGCAGCCAGGCAGGGATACCCCCATCCCCAACAATACACCAGCCATGAGGGGGGTAGAGTTGGTGTACGTACAGAGAACTCCACTGCAGGACCCTGCATCGTGGACAGAGCCTGGAAGTCCTGTGAACAAGGGTGATGTATTGTGAATATGTCATTGTACTTGACATGGTACAGGACACATTATGTTGAAAATGCCCGTCTCAAACACTTCAGAAATGTGACATCACAAATTCAATTGTGATTATACAACATCTTTTAAAGTAATTACAATGTTTACAATCATGAGATAAGTAGAAATTCACACATGAACATAATGACGTTGCAGTTGTTGGGTGACAAATACAAATCACAGTAAGTGTGAGTCCTGGTCCACATTCACTTTCATTGTATGTGAGATGACTGCAACACCCTTTTCCTGAGAAACTCAAAAAGTTAACCCAACCTTCCAGAGGTATTAATGTCAGTAACTGATGACTGAATTATTTATTAGATCAACAATCCCTTAAGCATTGTAAGCTGTACTAATACATTTCTGACTTTCATTTCTACCTGTATATGTATTAAGGAAGCGGCCTTTGTGATCACACACCACCAGCAGCTGAATGGAAGAGCTTCCTGTTGAACAACACAAAATGGAATTGATAACCACTCACATTGATATGGGATTAAAAACAGGTTTATATGAAGTGGTATTTTGTACGCAGGTTACCTGTTAAGGTAGTCTTCTTTGTTTGCTGCAGGTGGCTTGATTCTAATGTGTGTCCCATCAATGCTGCCAGCCGCTCTGCAGAAGGCATGAGAGCCAGCCAGGTGGGCAAAGCCTTCCCCTATTCCCTCTAGCTCATCAGCAGCAGGGAGATGAACCACCCTCTTCATGATGCTGATGATACTTCCAGCGACTCGATGAACAACATCATGAACCGTGGTGATGGGGACATCAAAGGCTCCTGACACCACCCGATACGAGGTGGCACTGGCCAGCCAGTATAAATATATCCCCACTTCGAGGTCTTTGCTCCAGCCATGGTCCTTGGTGTATCCCAGACACTCCACCAAGGCCTTCACTGTCTGCCTTGACAGACTGAAGTCTTTCTTTAGTTCTCCATCTCCCAGGTAGAGGCGGACAGTAGCGCTGTGGCCGTTCAATTAGAGGTATTGTCCTCACAGTCCACGCTGAGTAGGGACAGGATGTTTCAGGTGTCTGAACTTGTGTTTCCAAAGTGAAAAGTGTTTTATCATTCATGAAGTGTTTTTTGGTTACTGATATAATACTGTTGTCAGTTTGCTGTGAAATTCACTGTTTGAATTTAATTCAATGTTGGATTCAGAATGAATCTTGGTAAATGTGCTACTATTCAGGTTAATGTCATGCATTTTAAAAGTTAATTGTTTGATTTGAAGCCCTGCTCTGTTGGTACTTACAGGAGGAGTGGGCCAAACTCTGCTATTTGAAGGTGAGCCTGACCATCTCGTTCCAGCTGCATCAGAGGTGCTTATTGAGAGCAACCTCTTCCGGGTTGCAGGAAGGATGATAGCCCACTCCTTTTTGCATAATGGCCCCCATGTCACCGGATTAAGTCCTGCTGTTATTCATGTACTGTTCAATGGGGACCCTGAAATGGCAACAATTGTTGTCGAGGACTGTCCTGATCTGCACATCAGGAGTATTATAACAATGGTATGTAACACACAAACAAAAAAACCTTTGCCTTGCAAAATTCCTGGACAGGTGTAATACCTTTTATGATCCAAACTGTAGCTTGAACTTGAAGAACTTACTCAGGAACAGAAGGACACAGTGTCAGATCTTTCCCTGTCTTGGGATCTCCCAGCAGTCACTAAAACGAATCAGAGGTGGCTACATAACAAACTTCTAGTACACGCGGTGAGTTTCTCCTGCTGATTTGGTGAATTCTCCTTCTGAAATTGAACTCATCCCCCATTTATCCATCAATTATGTTTCAAGCTAAGCAATTCTATCACGTCTGCATTTCTTTTGCACATCTGTATTTCAATCACAAACTAATTGGAACTGCAGGCAGGATTATTACAGAACCTAAACACTCTTTAACTTGTAATCTAGGCAGGGAGTGGTTTGGTGTTGCAATATGAAAGGATATAATTGGAGAAAAATACATCTTAACCCTGTAAAGCCTGACACATGAAAAAATAACCAGGAAATTCTATTCTTTTGGAATTGAGATGTTTATTAAACCCTTAAACAAAATCCCCCAAAATGTTTTTCTCATATCATGTTGTTTATGATATTTTGTTTGTAGCACATTTGATACATCGGGCGTTTTTGGCAATTTTTTGCACACATTTCAGGAAGCTTTTCTCGTTGTTTTTTTTAACATAACACTTTTTACAGCCTTTTTATTTCATTTTGTGGTAGGCACAAAAACAGTTTCTGTCCTTGTTCAGGCAAAGATGCACCTTACACTTTTCACAGTAGACATGTGAGAAGTGATTGCATCTCTGTCGGGTTTCCCATGTTGGAAAATGATCAATGCCATCCCTTCTCACATCAAGAGGCACACTGCAGCTTGGTCTTTTACGGGGTGGTGTTGGAGTCTCTTCTGGAGAGGATAGTGGTCTGCCACACCTGATTTTGGCCTTTCCTGCCAACCAAAGCCTGAAACCTTCACAGAGGCACGGGTTTCTTTTTGGGGTTTAGCTTCTTCTGGTCTCTTCTGTAGAGGTTCCACGCATTGATGACTGCCACTGTAACAGTGTGCCACCAGATGTACATGTACCATCTTCGGGATCTGAAGCTGAACTTGTAAAGTGCAGACAGCACATCAAGGAGATCAACACCTCCCATGAACTTGTTATATGTTTCAACAATGGCTGGTCTGGGAACCATTATGTGAGTTTTGGATTTGCGATCCCAGCGTTTCACATTTCCCACAGGTTCAGTGCCAACAAAAGAGGAAATCAGGTTCACTGCTTTGTTGTCGTACCATCTTACAACGATGTTGTTTTCCTGGTTCACTCTGAAGTCCATTGACCCTCTTCCATTTGTCTTCAATTCTTTTTCATCCATCATGGTGCAGTGCTTCATCCTGTTCATCCGGATCGTGCCAACGTAGTGGATTCCTCTTTCTTTTAGGTGTTGCACCAGGGGAACTGATGTGAAGTAGTTGTCTGCAAAGACCTTGTGATTTTTTCCTGCTGGAAGTGTTGATGTCATTTTCAGCACAACTTCTCCTGTAACACCTACTTCAGACTTTTCTCTGTCTGGATTTTCTGCACCTTGACAAATATCAAAGTCATAAAGAAAGCCACTTTGTCCAGCACGTCCCCACATTTTGAAACCCCATTTGTGAGGTTTTGCAGGCATGTAGACACGTAGATGAGATTTTCCCTTAAATGGCACCATGATTTCATCAACTGCATGGCTTTCTTCAGGAGGTATGTAGAGAAACTGTTCTCGCAGTTTTTGTAACCATGGCCTGAGCTTCCACAGTTTATCTTTCTTTGCATCATCAGACACACTGAGGTTGTCCTGAAAGTGAATCACTGTCAGCAATTTCAGAAACCGATCTCGAGACATCACATGACAAACTGCAGGGAGCCTTGTCTCCATCTCCCAATAGGCTCTCACAGAGGACATCTGTACTAACCCCATATGAATGTACATGCCTAGAACCTGCTCTATTTCCTTGGCAGTTGTGTTTACTGACTTGCCCTCTTTTTGGACACTGTACAGGTTTGTTTGTTCTGCAGTTTCCTCTAGCATTTCATCAGTGACAAACTGTTTGAAATACATGTATGGTGTCCAGTCACACCTGTCTTCTGTGCCTTCCTCAACACTTGCAATGAAATCGATAGATGGAGCTTGATCATTTATTTTTCTCCATCTGTATTCTTTCCTTTGTGCATTGGCCTTCACTGACTCCTTTCTGATTGTGTCCTGTGTTGTTGTTGGGATCTCAACGTCTGTGCTTGTCTGGGCTACACTTTCCTCTTGATAGTCTTCCTCATCACTGCTATCTGAACTTCCATCATCATGCATGGCCTGAGGAGTCCATTCTTCCTCATCCTCCTCCTCATCATCTTCCCCTAACTGCTCTATGTCACTTGAATTGCCATCCATTATCATGTTGATGACATTTTCAATGTACGTTTGTTTTCTCACTTCTTCCTCTATTCTTTTTGACATCTAAAAATACACACATAACAAATTGGTCAATATAGCGTAGCGATTATGATTTCAGAGGAATTGTTATTGTGAAAATACCCAAAATGTATTTTAAAATGGCATTTCAGTCATTAATTAGATTTATTAAATCATTAAAATAGTGTGTGTTTGTATATTGGTAGGCATGATGTAGATTACATTACAAAAATTTAGAATGACCGTTCAAGGATAAAGCACCTTATATACCTGCAGTATCAAATGTGATACACACATTTTTAACACGATTTAACTGTAATATGAAGAATGAATTATTAAGTAATGATGCATTGTTTTAATACAGAATATAGTCCTATTAAAGAATGAGTAACAATATAAATGTTATTCTTACTGTAACTTCTTGAAAATTAGCAAAGATTTTCCTGCTGAAAGTGTGTGGATGCTAGCATGATGGTGGCCATTTTTTTAAAAGGTCAAAAAAAGCCCTTCCACTGCCTGCAGTAGAGTGCAAATCCTCTAGGGGGCAGAATACATGTATCAGGTCATATACAACAGGTTTTAAAGGAAAGTTTTGATCATGTTGATAAGACAGAGGTCTCAGAAACTTGCGTAGCAAATATGATACAAATGGTTTTATAGGGTTGTTAAGCACTGCATTAGAGTTTTATAAACACTTTCTACTGTGCTGACTTTTGTAGAATTTTAATATTTGGTCAGTAATATGGGTTTGGCCTTTCTTGTAGGTCATCGGGAGGACCATGCGCCAAATTAAACAGTTGAGAAAGGGATTGAAAGATGTGATGCTATGGCCCCTGCTGACATCAAGGCCAGATGTTGTCCCACTTCTTTTTCTGAAAATGGCAGGAATGCAGTTTGTACCCCAGGTGATTTAGTACATCCAACTTATTAACAATACTTAAAATATTAATAAATGTGTGTGCAAATCTTATTGTCTAATTTACTGAGCTGGATATTTTCTCAATTACCAAGACTGTAATCTATATTCCTTTTCATCAGTGCTGAATTATAAATTATCCTAGACACCAAAATACTTTTCAAACTTTTTTTTTCCAGATGTTCCTAGACAAAATCACATGGCCTGTGGAGGACAGTGATGATGAAGAACTTGACATTGAGTGCAAGTGCCGCATCACTGGTTTTCTACGGATGTTCATTGAAACAGGTATAGCTATCTTATTTTGCAATTTATTTTCATGTTTACCAATGTCTCTATGTCCCATAAACATCTCACTTAACACTGTAGAATATATGAAATGCATAGGGATTTGAACAGTTACAGTGCACTGTGTTCTTAATCCACTTTATGACCTTTTAGCTTCATCAGATACTCTGGCTCAGTTGCTGAAGTTCTGGGTCGGCTGGGAAATGCTCCCTCCAGAACTCAAAGTGGAGTTTTCCGGGGGAACCTTCCCATCATCCTCCACATGCTTTGAAACACTGAAGCTGCCAGCTCATTACAACACCTACAAAGACTTTGAGGAAGCACTTGTTGCTGCCATAGACAGTGCACACACTGGATTTGCTCTTGTTTAAGTATTTTCAGGCAATGATGTTGCTGTGCTTTTATTCAGTAGAAAAAGGTCAATTTGAGTGAAGTGAGTTCAGTGTTTTTCTAACATTTCAAATACAGTGCAGTATTTTCTTTCCCTGAAAATGACACTGCTTTGTTGTTGCTCTTCTGTCAACTGTTTGATACTTCAGTGTGCATCACCTTGCTGTCCTTGCCTGTTGTCATTGGCTACATGAGGTTGTTGAAATATCTCTTGATGCTAGAAAAATTGGTTTTATTTGCATTAAAACAGCATATTATGATTTCAGATTTTTATTGACAAATCAAGTTAACTAATTCATGAGTGACATTTGCACAATAAATAAAATAAAAGGCCTGCTTAAGATATCAGTCTCCAATGATTCTTGACAAAACTTGCACTGTCTCCAAATATGATCCAATTGCATCATTTAAAGAAACTCCTGAAACTGGCAAAATGGCAACCTCTTCATCTGAGAGCTCACGGGCCATCTGAATCTCAGGAACTGACACAGTGTCTCCATGCTGATTGTGAGGCCCATTCCAGTCGATCCCATAGTCTTCATAAACCTGAACAGAGGATAACCTTGATTGACATATTGTTTAAACTACTATGACATGTCATCACACAAGATTCATGAGATTGATCATTGGTCCTTATGTTGGTGACAAATTAAGTTTTAGGCACTTTGCTGCTCAGATGTTGTTCTGTCAGAGCTCAGGAGACAGAAGAGATTCTCATGTTTCATTCAAAAACAAGAACAAAGTGATAACAGAAACCCTTTTATTAAAATATAGTGGGTCCAATTATCATCTGTCTGAAATGTTTCTTCTAAGAAATTTGAGGAAAAATAAATCTGCTAAACATCAGTGACAAACACCTGTATCTCCTGACCAACAAAATATGAATATATTTTCAAAAGGTTTCAATAATAGTGTAAAACTACTATCTTTTTTTTAACCTCTGCAGGATCCTCCATGGGGCCTTGCTCTCTGTATCTTCTCCAGAGTTCATTAGGTGATTGATTCCTTTCAGTTCTAAGTCCATGAAAGTTCCAAGCATCTCTGAAGGAGCTGAGGGTTCTCTGAATTTGGGGAAGGAAGATCCGGTGCAGGGCATAAAGATGGACTTGGTTGTCTGGATTGAGTGTTCCCTGATCTTCCAATGAAGTGAAGATCTGATAGAAGAGGTCTAGGGATGCTCATAAACATCTCTCCACATCTCTCTATTCTGCAATTAGAATGCAATTGACAAATTGTTAATTAATATATAATCTCAAGCTTTAAAATACATTGAGCTGCTATGGTTTATACAAGCAGTGGTGGACAGTAACGGAGTACATTTACTTGAGTATTTGTTTTTTTTGGAAACTTGTGACTTTCACTCCACTACAAGATAAATATTGTGCTTCGACTCCACTACATTTCTAGGAAGCTCGTCGTTACTGGTTCCTTTTAGGCTCAGCATAGCTTTGTTGTCAGCTGTTG